TTACCTCTATCTAGATACTTTTTCGAGTGATCCCATTTGAATTGGCCGAAATCGGGGGTCTCAGGAAACCTTTATAACTCCTGAAGGGAACAAGCTAGAAAGGTGCGCCTTGTGCAGATCGAAAGAGAACAATTTTCACTATGGAATGGTCATGTCAAAACCTTAATTAGAATGGAATATGCCTTCCGAATATCATTTGTAAAATGTCCATCAAGAATTCACCTGTTTGGTCAATTATTGACCAATCAAATTTTTGCATAGAATTATTTACTCCACATTTCTCTTTCGAATGCCGAAAACCGCAGGTCTATAGCTGCTTCCGTTCTCGAGTTATTAGAAAAACAAGCAACTGTGTTATATTTTGAAATGGATAGTAGTATCAATTCAACGTAAACTGTCATTTTGATTGTGTCATTCTTTCTGATATTGATATTGTTTTCTACTAATTCTTGCTGTTGTTACATAAATTTCTACAATTAAAGTAGCTGCAACGATTCGTGAGCATAGAGTCGGGGAGGCATCAAATTTCTATATCTAACCTTCAATACTCCATTTAGATCGTGTTTCATAAATGTAAAAAAAGGGTGTGGGTGTGGGTGCGGGTGGGGGTGGGGGTGTTGGTATGAAGATAAGACCAACACTCACACTCGCCCACACACACACCCACACCCACCCACACCCACACCCACCCACACCCACACCCACCCACACCCACACACACATCCACATCCACACCCACACCCTTTTCTATCGAATCCACTCAGGACGATGATTAATTTAAGTATCTCTTATTTGTCTTTGTTCCCTCTAAAACAAATTACGATTAAATGAAAAAGATCTGATGGCTATTCTATTCAAGCGCACGTATGGGAAGACTGAAATCATTCACAGTAGAGGTGTTTCAGAGTCTGAGGAATCCGCTTGTTTATCACGAACACTAAGATAGTTCCTGGCCAAACTCTTAAAGGACTAACTGGGTGTGCAGGTGTGAGTGTGATTGTGAGTGTTCTTTTCTTCAAGGATAGCTACACCCACAGCCTCTTGTGGTAGCAACTAAATCAAAATAACCACAGTGAAGACTGAACACGAGTGTTCTAGTTCGCTGCATGTCTAGTATAGAGTTTTTCATTGATTAGCATGTGTCCGAATAGGAAATAAAATTCTCATTCCCATCCATTTTGTCTTGTTTATCGTATAATGATTTCATTGATTTTTTTATTATTTCGAAATCGATTATGAGCTTATGTTATGGTTGGATTCGGAGAAAAAAGGTTGAAGTGAATTGTTAAAGAGAAAAATTATTCGAATAGTTCGAGAAAATATTGTTCCATTGACTTCATGTCAGTAGTATAACTCAGCGCTATCTAAGGAAGCTGCTCCAGAGTAACCACCAGCTACTAAGACTTTTCCATTTGTCAATAGAGTGGCAGTGTGTAGAGCACGTGCAATTTTCATGCTGTCTGTCTTTGACCAGAGCCCTGTTGATGGATTATATAGTTCTGTATCATTCAAAGGCATCATAAAAACGTTTGGATCATAGCCAACACCACCAGTCACTAACATAGTGCCATTAGCTAAAGAACACATTGCATGAGTCATTCGCCCGGTATTCATATTACTACTATTTGTCCAAAGTCCGGTCGATGGATCGTATAATTCTGTGCTACTCAAAAAGCCACCATTGGTGAATGTCTCGTCGGTTTCTCCACCGACAGCTAACACCTTTCCATTGATTAAGAGGGAGCCTGTTGAAAACTGTCGTGAAATACTCATGTTGCCTGTCGGTGTCCACAGACCTGTCGAGGGATTATACAACTCGGGACTATTTATCGATCCCCCATAATCATATCCATCGAAATAGTATCCTCCTGCAACCAAGACTTTTCCATTAGTCAAGAGTACGGATATTTGATTCTGTCGCCCAATAGACATGTCACCTGTCTTTGTCCATGATCGTGTTGATGGATCATACAGTTCTGCGCTGTTTAAAAATCCTGAGTTTCTGTATCCATCATATTCAGATCCCCCAGCAACCAAGATCTTTCCATTAGTCAAGAGTGTAGCTGTATGACCCTGTCGCGCAACAGTCATGTTGCCTGTTCCTGTCCACAATCCTGTTGATGGATCGTACAATTCTGCACTACTTATAGCTCCTAAAGCATTCGATCCATCAGATCCACTTCCACCAGCAACTAAAACTTTTCCATTTGCTAAACGAATGGCTGTGTGACTTAGTCGCCCAATTGTCATGTTAGCTGATCTTGTCCATAATCCTGTTAATGGATCATAAAGTTCTACGGAATTTAAAGGAAGCGAGTAGCCATATTCATCTAATGTGTATCCACCAATAACGAAGACTTTTCCATTAGTCAAGAGAGTAGCTGTATGTCCTATTCGTTGAGTTGACATACTACCCGTATTGGACCATTCTAGATGTACAAAGTTTAATTTGAGATTAAGCAAGATACTTTCTACGATAAAGATATAGACTAATGTCGGCGCCAGAATGAAAGAGGGGTGGATATAAATTGAATAACTCAACAACGGCAAGAGCTACTGAGCTGCGGTTTTCACCAATCGAAAGAAGAGGAGTAAGCACGTCTTTTTCTCTGATAATGTATAAGACGAAATCCTTTTAAAGCTAATCATACTCGAAAAACCTAAAAAAGAATCCATGAAAGGACCTGGCAGCTGCATGAAATTTTAATTTTGACCTTTTATTTAGATAGAGGGACTTCAGATCTATAGTTCAAGACACAATGCGCTTTCTTACTTTTTCTTACATTTCCATCGAAATCTCAAGCTACTAGGATAAACAGTGGGAAAATTGCGAAAAAATCAGCAAAATGCCCTATTATTTGCGCATGTAAGTGCATGATACCATTTGCTCAGCGTTAGAATATAATAAGACAACCATTTGTATTGTATTTTGAGCTATAGATCTGAAGTCTCTCTATCTAAATCAAAGGTCAAAATTAAAATTTCATCTAGCTGCCAGGTCATTTCATGGGTTCTTTTTTCAGATTTTTCGAATATGTTTAGTTTTAAAAGGATTTCGTCTTATACATTATCAGAAAAAAAGACGTGCCCACTCCTCTTCTTTCGATTGGTGAAAACCGCAGTTCGGTAGCTCTTGCCGTTGTTGAGTTATTAAATTTATATCCACCCCTCTTTCATTCTGGCGCTGACATTAGTCTGACTGAAAAAATCTTTTTTCATCGAATGAATGGTGCATTTTTACGACTTCAATTGAACAGCAATGTTCCATCGTACCGTTTTGAATATAGCGTGAGATTTCGAAAGTGGCATACATAGCTGGCTTCACCAATATCGGCATTCTACAGTACTATGCCGCTGACCGAAAGCAGAGAGAGAAACATGTTCTTAAATACACTTGATTTCTGTACAATCATTTTTGATCGTTTGTAAAACTATGATCAATAGCGAATTCGGTTCAATATGAGCTTGATTCTTCATCGAACTCAATATAACTGTGAACCGCATAGTTTTCACTGTGAGAAAGCAATACAATACTAATTAGCATATGGCAGTTTTGGATTCTAAATATGATTATCTGGGACTTAGAATCTTTGTCAAAACATCATTAATTTGACATTCTTTCTCCTAAAATCTAGAAGAGCTGAACGATTCAGAAATCAACACTTAGATTAAGAATTATACATACCCTTACTTGAGTTCTATTTTCAGTAAAATTTTCGAAATTTCTTATAAATCATTATCAATAAACTGTAGAATGTCTGACAAGGATATCCCTAAGATTCGATGTGACCTTTCTTGAGCAACGATGCTGACTAACCAGTTATTGATTAGTCCGTTAAAAAGTTTTAACTTCCGTAGTCATTTTATAGGTCCGAAGCATTTATCGTCTCTGTTTTATGTGTACTGAGTTTTCTAGGAAGTGTGAGAGTAAGAATTTCTTATCATTATTCGCAAATAAAAATCTCTTTCAGAATATACTGATATACTTCAATAAAAGCGTGAAACTGAAATTTGAATTTTCACGCGAAATACACTGATGCACACTGATTTTTCTTTTTTTTGCAGAGCGATTTAGCTGAGAAATAAATGCATTATGCTTCGATCAGGTATTTCAGTCTAACGACAAATTTTGTCAACAACACTCGTATAGTGGTTGAATAACATCATTAGAATATCAAAAATATGCACTTTTGCTATCACGCAGCAATTTTTGACCTCAAGTATACATTAAAATGTCAATTAGCTATTATTCAAATTAACCACTACAAGTATTTCTATTGTACACTATTGACTACATTCTAATACAAGGTCATACACTCGGCTTACAGAAATAAAGAAAAGTGAAACTGATCGTTTTTCAGTAGAAAAGTTCCCATATCAAATAGAAATGGTCTGTAACAAAAATTTTTGAATAGCGAGAAGAAAGACTCAATTCATATTGAAAGAAATATGATCGGAAGACCTCATAGTTTGTAAGAGAATGATGAATATATTATATATTACTTTTTGTATATCAACATCTTAGTCATAAAATTTTACGTGTCGATATTATTGAGACAACATAATTAGTCTCACATATCTCAATACTTCTAAGAACTGTACAAAAAGGAAAAATACGTTTAACCTTGGAAGTGCCTTAGATTGAACATTCTAAAGATACCGTCTACTCACGCCCTTTTGCTGTTGGTGAAAGCACTGCGGTTGTTGATGTCATTATCTTAGTAGTCGTCGTTGTTGTTGTCTTAGTTGTCGTCGCTGTTGTTGTCTTAGTTGTCGTCGCTGTTGTTGTCTTAGTTGTCGTCGCTGTTGTTGTCTTGGGGGTCGTTGTTGTTGTCATAGTTGTCGTCGCTGTTGTTGTTTTGGAGGTCGTTGTTGTTGTTTTGGTTGTTGTTGTCGTGGTTGATTTTGTTGTTGTTGTTGTCTTGGTGGCCGTCGTTGTTGTTGTTGTCTTGGTGGCCGTCGTTGTTGTTTTGGTTGTTGTTGTCGTCGTCTTAATGGTTGTCGTAGTTGGTTTCGTTGTTGTAGTCGTTATCTTAGTGGGTGTTGTTGTTATTGCTATCCCTTGTTTAAAATAGCATCAAGTTCTGCATTAGATCTGCATTAACAATGCCATTCACATAAGTGATCTTTAGTTTAAATAGAAGTACTGTACAAAAAGTTTTTGGTCTGTAGATGAGACCTTCATTTTTTTAAATTTTCTATCAACCTTTTGAAGATTTTATTACCTTCATAGTCCGCGTTAAGCCACTCTATAACATGGAGGAAATAATTTTGGTTCTCTATACGTGAATGGTGAAAAACGTTAATGTAACGACAAACTGGATTGAATAGCTTTTCGCCATTCTCGGCAATGATGTTTATTCAGCTATTTCACATATCCAGAGTGTAACAACTTCATACATAACACACGTATATATAGGAGAGAGAAAGGAGAGAGAGATATTAGAACAATGGAAAGAGAACAGATAGAGAAGGAAGGAAAATCATCGGAGCGTGCCATCAATATCGGCACACCCTCCCACTCAGATCAGACGCGCTCCTGAGCGTCTTTACAATATCAAAAAAAACACACTTAAATGAAACAGTGGTAAATCGCTAAGAGAAACAATAACGTAACAGAACACATCAAAAGTTGATCATTTTGACCGTTGTCATACAATAAAAAGTCGGATATAAACGATATCACTCGATTACACTAGTAACAATCGCTTGAGTTATCTTCTTTTTTTTTTCAGACACTACAAAAAAAACGCAATGAACAGTTACATATAGAGACTTGAGTCTAGTGTATACACAGTGTTTAAAAGAATTTCTTTTTCCATTCCAGAATCAGAGTATCTTAGCACACCACATTAAAAAAAAATTATTAATAACAAATAGCTGAGCATCACAGCGCTAATCAAAGAACACATTAAATAGTTATACAAATCAATATAATATCACAAAAGTCAATTTTCTAGTAATTACTCACAAAAAAAAAACGAAAAGTTGTCACATTTCTTATTTAATTTAATCAGATGTAACGCATCAACGCGGTACGAAAGAATAGAAAAATTTATGCACCCTCTGGGCAATGGAAAGAAAAGAAACTTTTTCACACGTTTCATCACTTTTATCAGTGAAAAGATAATCGACTTTTTTTTCCCGCTTGTTTTGCTTATCTAACATTCATGCGTCGTTGGGTATATAAGATAATCAGTTGGATTGCGTGCAGATGGTGTATTGATGATAAATGAAATGACATTGCTTGCGGCAGTTATACAATTAAAATTCAGTCTCTTCTACCCTTGCTTGTTTTCTTCTTTTTCTTTGTTGTCGAGACGAATAATTTATGTTTTCAATTGCGCTTCAGATGTTGTTAACGACTAATTTTTTCTAATTTCATGTGTTGTATAGCCGGTATATAACTTCTGCTAATATAATGCGTCGCCACGCAGTAGAAGTGGACCACTTCCATGTCATTCTTCTCACGGATGACTCGACTGTTCGGTCGGCTGGGTCGTTCTCGCAGCTATTCCAATATTTACTTATCAATTTCTTTTGTTCATATAATTGTTTCTGCTTTTCATAAAAATTTCTGCCAACGTTTGTCCACCGGAGGCCGCCGTCGTCCAAACCGTTGAGGAGGTTCATCATTATATTAACTGAATTCATACTTGCTACTTCACACACTTCACAGCAGTTGATCAGCCGTTGCGCCTTGATTGACTTGCTGAATCGCCTTCATGATTTTATAGTTGTTGATAAAGACAAACTTCGAGAAGATTTTCCAGAATTCATTAGCCAAGGTCGGGATGTAATGACCGAGGTCTGCCAGAGTCGCCATGTAACGACAAACTGGATTGAATAGCTTTTCGCCATTCTCGGCAATGATGTTTATTCAGCTATTTCACATATCCAGAGTGTAACAACTTCATACATAACACACGTATATATAGGAGAGAGAAAGGAGAGAGAGATATTAGAACAATGGAAAGAGAACAGATAGAGAAGGAAGGAAAATCATCGGAGCGTGCCATCAATATCGGCACAGTTAATTCTTGACATCTGAAAAGCTCGATTTTCTGCTGATAGTTTTGCTTTTTCTCTAAAGCGATATGAAGTATAAAAGAATTCCTAGTGATATTGGAACTTTTTGTATTAGCATGGCAAATATTTAGAATTCTGTTTTTTTCATTCCCATATAGAGCGTTTAGTATCCAACTTAAAATTAAGTTTCAAATATTGTTTAAAATATACTTTAAGGTTGTAACGAGAGGATTGTTGTAAGTCATCAAAGTTTGTTTGCGACTTTTCAACTTTTGTGGTGTGACTTTAAGGTCATGGGTCTTAAGATTCACTATGCTGCCCATTGAAGGATATCTTACCTAAAATTTTCGAATAGATGTAAAGTAAAGACGGCTAAACCTGGTTAAGATTTAACTAAGTATGTAACTCATTCGGATGGAGTTTTTTGGAACTGTGGAAGTCAGACTGTTAATGTGATTTTCAAATATCTCCTCTAATCGCATCTTTCAAGAGTCATGTTTTCTGCAATCTCTAACAGATGAATAAAGCGTCCGATTTCTGCGGTTGAATGCATTTTTTCTTTCCATTGTTTTTTGTTGAAATGTCATGCTCTTGATATCATCACGTGAGCATGGCTTTAAAACTTGAGAACTACGGAGTTGTCTTATTTTAGTCTTGTATATATAAAAGTTTGGAACACAAATCGATCACGTTAAAAGTAGGTCCATGGACATTTTACAGCTTGCTAGTCAGCAAGAAACAAGATAATACTGAAACATCTAGCTCCTGAACTTGAACTAAGTTCAAAGCCTTCACAATCAGAGTTAACTGAACAAGACGCTATTCGCATGTTACATGAGATTGGTTGGTATTGTCAACTTATTGCTATATCTTTAATTCGAAGCTTAAAATATTATATTAATTATATGATTGATAAATATTATACCTGATACGCCGATGAAGCACCTAGAGAAACAGTAGTAACATTTTTCAACATTATTCACTTTTCAGATAAAAAAAGCTTACATCAGTACAATAAACATAATCAGCGTATTCATTACACTGTTGCAGATTAACGGAGTGGAATGTTGAAGAAAGACCGATCTGAACGAAAACATCAGAATCATACATCATTTAATAGCGAGCAGATCTCTCGTTTCATTTCAATACTTGCTTTATTATTATTATTGCAATAATATTCTTAGAGTCTCTGGCAATGCCGTCAGTCAATACCCACACAAATAGATGAATAATCTGAAATAGTGTATTATCAAAGCAAACAAACCTTATCGAGTGTAACACATATTCTGGAATAGGGTGTGGGCGCATATAAGATTAAAGCCCATCGAGCATGAGCATTGGTTGAGGTTACTCGAATTCGGTTAGATCTTGGACCAAGATCCTGTTGTATCTAATGTCAATTCGATTGTTTCAGCCACCTGACATTACAGAAATCAGCAAGGATGATTCGAGAGCGAATAGGGACAGCTGCTGGCTGAATCACTAATTTCATATTCCATCGATTTCCCATACTTTTCTGAGGAAATTGACTCGTAACTCTTACTTTGGAATCGACTGTATTCGAATTACTAATTTAAACACGAGCTTTAGAAGATGTAATTTAGCATACTGAAAATAAAATCCATCGAATCTGAGTTCGGAACCAAAAATGTTTAATCTGACAAGCACTTTGGTAAATAAATTTCAATATGAACATTTGGAATCAATGCAAGTGTTTACAAAAATAGTACACTAATATTCACACTAGCTATCATGGCTAATTGCATTGATTTTCTTTATCCAGAAGAAAGATCTTCAGAGTTCGTACGATAGTATTACAACAAAATGATGACTATTTTTTTGAAAAGTATTCTTTACGCAAAAAATTTCAGTCTCAGATATTAGCTCATGTTGTGTTGCCATTCTACGCAATTTGTGTCTTCAAGTTTGTTACTGGTAGTAGATTCCCACGATGTTCCTTGCAACTCCAATGGCTGCTCTTCAACATTCATCGTTAACACTATGCTCAGAATTGAAAAATCGAGCTGCTTGAAGATTTACTTGTACACAACAATACTCATATTCTTCGTTTTGTCTTGAGGAATGTTTTCGTATGCATCCCATTGACATTTAGCTATAATGTACGGAAAAACCAGTTCAATTGGAGATAAGTGAATTACAAGTCGAAATGAGATGCTTTCTATTTTAGAAATCCGAACTCATAGATTCTCTTGAGTAGATGCTTCAACCCTAATTAAAAGGTCTATTCCCTCAGACTTCTAGCGTACTAAGCATCATTTTTACTGTGCTAAAGATGTATTTTTAGTATATGATTTAGAAAGTACAAATTATCTAACTAAATTTTAAAATAAATGTAGAAATCTCGAATTTATATCCGAGAGTTATGTGTACTTCAAAAAGTGAATGAGACAAATCGGTCATCCTAGAACGTCTGGATATAAAAATTTGCCTGGGAAACCTTTACGATAAACCCTTGAATTCCATTGCCTACTGCTCAACCGGTAGGACTTGGGAGCGTAAACAGCTCAAATTTCAACTGTTTGGCTTTACTTAGCCTCAGAAAGAAAGTCGTTCTTCCTATAACTTGATTTCTATTCGTCAATGCTCAACCGATGGGACTTCGAGGCAAGTTTAGTGCAGATTCTAGTTCTCTACCCGAGAAAACCTTCGATTATCATCTCTATGATCGAAAAATAGAGTTATAATTGGGGATCAATTCGGGCATGCACAAAACAGAACCGATTCTTGCCTAATTACCTGTCCAATGGGTGAGATCGTCTTCTTGCTTCCTAATGTTTTATATATAATTTTGTAGCTCTTGAAATTCTCTATCGAATGGTGTATAATAGTTGAGGTTTTATTTGATTCTGATAGGAAAAGCCTTTTACGAAAGCGGCGATGGATCAATTTTCCCACAGGAAGCCATAGGGAAAAATGGGTGTTTTTTGCAATAACTCAGGA